TCCAGACTCCACCAGCTGCACCTCCCACCGGACACCTGCAAACACTGAAGGAAGCTGTTTCACATGTCTACCTTCCCTGATACTCATATACACTTACAAACTGAACATCTCTTCTTTGTCTTAAATTGCCTTGTAAAAGATCAAAAAGAAAAACCCAGTTCATTCTCAGTTTTATGGTGAATGGTCTGTGTTCAGTGTTTATCATCTATGGACAGATCTGAAAATCTTAGATTGGGCTCCTTTTCCAGAGCTGCAGTGTGAGGAGTGGGATAGGTTTCCTGTGCAGAATGAGATCATGCTTGCATTTTCCTGCTATTTATGTCCTCTTGACCTTGGCAATAGCCTCAAAAAGTGACGCTAATGTCGAGGAAGAGCTGGCATTCATGGTGGTCGTTGTAGCCATGACAGAATTCAAGTAAACCTACCCTGTATACCCTTATGAGTGAGTACGTACCATGGTCATCTTTCTTGGTCTGAGTTACCTCACTCAGCATGTTCTTTTTCTAGTTTCATCCATTTGTGCATGCAAATTTCAAGAAGTCATTGTTTTTGACTGCTGAATAGTACTTCATTGTGTAGATGAACCATGCTTATTTTACTCTTCAGTTTAGGGGCTACTAGGTTGTTCCAGGATATGGCTATTACAAATAATGCTGCTATGAACATAATTGAACAAATATCCCTGTAGTATTATTAAGCATTCTGGATATATGCCCAAGAGTGATATTTCTGTGTCCTGACATAGGTTGAAGTGGATAGTAGCTCTAGAGCAAAGGATAATGTGCCTATTCTTCATAATCCTAGAGAAGCTATGTAACAAGGTGAACTCTAAGAAAAACATACATGATCCATTTGGAAAGGAAAAATATACAAGATTGCCTGACAAAATTGGTAGTATGGGGTCTTGGGGAGAAGAGAGGGTGGAAGGAGAAAAGGAAGGGAGAGGGGAAGGTGGGAGGAGAACTTGAGGGAATGGGTTATCTGAGATAGAGGAAGGACCGAGATGAGAGCAAGAAAAGAGATATTTTAATTGAGGGAGCCATTATGGGGCTAGCAAGAAACCTGACACTTGAAAAATTCTCAAGAATCCACAAGGATGACTCCAGATAAGAAACTAAGCAATAGGGAAGAGGGTGCCCAAACTGACCTTGCACTATTGTCAGACTGATGAATATCTTAAATGTCAACACAGACCCTTCATCCAACAACTGATGGAGACAGAGGATGAAACCTGCAGTGGATCAATGTGATGAGATCCCCAAGTTCAGTTGAAGAGTGGGAGGAATGAGAATATGAGCAAAAAGGTCAAGACCATGATTGAAACAGCTACTGAAACAGTTTATCTGAGCTAATGGGAGCTCACCAACTTCTGCAAGACAGGGAGGAAAACAGCATAGGTCCAAAGTAGACACTCTGAATGTGGGTGACAGTTATATTGTTGGAAAAGATTGCAGGGCAACTGATAGTGGCACCAGGATTTATCCGGACTGTTTGTTCTGGCTTTTTGGGAACCCAATCTCTTCAGATGGATATGCTGCTCAGTCTAGATATAGTAGAAAGCTTGGACCTTTTCCAAAGCAATGTAGCTTACCTTTTTTGAGGAGTAGATGCAAGGTGTGGTAGGATGTAGTTGGAGGAAATGGGAGTTGGGGAAGGAGTAGGACTGGTATATACAATGATAAAAGATTGTTTTATTTAAAAAAAATAAATGAATGAAAAAGAAAACCTACCCTTAATGTGGTTGTGTACTATAAATATTCAATATTTAAACATCCCAAAGCTCATTTAAACCATTGCAGTTCCTAGATAACAGAGTTACATGTTTGCAGTTCAGCAAGGAAGACTGGTTATCAGACAATCATGTATACAGTTATTGAAAGCAACCCAATATTAATTTTCTTTAGAAGAAAACCTGAGCCATGAGAGTAGTATTTTCTTGAACTCTTTCCTGGAAATTAAGGGAGGCTTTAGGCTTTCCTGTATTCCTTCCCATAGTTTGGCCATTTCAAATTGCCCCACTGAGATATATCAGAATGAAATTGTCTGTACCATGCTTTAAATTTATTATATCCACACATAGTTGGTTAACACTATATTGAACCTGGTGTTTTCAGAATGTGTAGAACCCTATGGTCTAGTTTGGGGATCACATAATCTCAGAATGTGGCCACATCAGAAATCTCCTTCTTCATGACACACATACATCTGTCCTTGGATGTATAATGTTAGGTGCCCAGAAAACATCAAAGAGGAAGGGAATCTTCACAATATAGCTAATCATTAACAGATTGTAAATCAGCAACTTAAACTCTTGAACTCTTGATTTACGTAAGCTCATATATTATAACCTTTTGTGATAAAAAACTATGTTGATGATTACTCTACTCTTTAAACAGAACAATGTAAAAAGTGAACATATAGGGCCTGAGATGACCCTTAGAAAGCATCAACACATTCTATCACTGCTTTTACTAACAATTTAGCTCAGGGGCAACAGAGTCAAGAAAAGAAGATGGAGTCTATAATGGGAACATGTACCTCATGGAGAACTCAGCCAGGTTATTGAACTCCTTTTGCAAAATGGTTATTTAGTAATATTTGAATTGAATTTTATTTACCTTGAAGTAGCTTTCTTCCATCCAGTGCTCTCAATTCCCTCAGTCTCCCCGCACTTTTCACAAGTCAGCATTATGCTATTTTCATGGAACTAAGGGATTTTTAAGATTGTTTTTATTAAGCTATATATTTTTTCTCATCTCTACTCCCTTCCGCACCCTCACATTGTGTGCTCTCCCATGATCTCCATGCTCCCAATTTGCTTGGGAGATCCTGACTTTTTTTACTTTCTAAATATGTAGAATGTATAAATTTATTTCTCAGTTAGGTCACTCTGTGCTGTATAGGTAACCTGGGATTATAAATGTAGACTGTTTTTAGCTTGCTTCATGTCTACAAGAAACTTATGAGTGAGTACATATTATATTTGTATTTCTTGGTTTGGGTTACCTCACTCAATATGATGACTTTTAGATCTGTTCTTTGCCTGCAAATTTCAAGATGTCATTAATTTTTTTTCGCTGTGTAGACTCAATCATGTAAGTGTACCACATCTTTACGCATTCTTTGGCAGAGGGGAATCTAGTTGTTTCCAGGTTCTGGCTATGACATATAATGCTGCCATGAAATTAGTTGAACATATGTCCATGTGGTATGATTATCATTTGGCCATATACCCAAAAGTGGTATTTCTTAGTCTTGAAGTAGGGTGCTTTTTAATTTTCTGAAAAATCACCATTCTGATTCTCAAAGTGATAAATACCCTCAGTAAATTTGGCAGTATACAACATCACCTCAAAAAAAAAAAATCAGTAAACCTCCTACATACACATGATAAAGAAGCTAAGAAAGAAATCAGAGAAACTTCATCTTTTACAATAGCCACAAATGACATAAAATATCTTGAGTTAAAATTAACCAAACAAGTGAAAGACCCAGCTGACAAGAATTTTAAGTCTTTGAAAAAAGAAATTGAAGAAGATATTAGAAAATGGAAGGTTCTCCCATGGTCTTGGATAGACAGTATCAACATAGTAAAAATAACAATCCTACCAAAAGCAATCTATAGATTCAATGAAATCCCCATCAAAATCCCAAGACAATTCTACACAGACTTTGAATAAACAATAATCAACTTCATATAAAAAAACAAAAACCCAAGGATAGTCAAAACAATCCTGTACACTAAGGAAACTTCAGGAGGTATCACCATCCTGAATATCAAGTTCTATTATATAGCTACAATAATGAAAGCAGTTTGGTATTGGCATAAAAACAGACAGGTTGAATAACTGAATCTAATCCACATACCTATGAACACCTGATTTTTGACAATGAAGCTAAAATTATACAATGAAAAAAGGAAAGCATCTTCAACAATTGTTGCTGGCATAACTGGATGTCAACACGTAGAAGAATAAAAATATTTCCATGTCTATCATCATGCACAAAACTCAATCTAAATGGATTAAATACCTCACTATAAATTTGCCCACACTAAACCTGATAGAAGAGAATGTGGGAAGTGACCTTTAATGCACGGGCAGAGAAGAGCACTTCCTAAATGTAATAGAACTAGCACAGACAATGAGAACAACAATAAATAAATGGGACTTCCTGAAACTGAAAAGCATCTGTAAAGCAAAGGACACAGTTAATAAGACAAAAAGGCAGTCCATTAAAGGTGAACATTTCTTCATCAACCCTACATCAGACAGACAACTGATCTCCACATCAGACAGAGGACTGATCTCCAAAATATATACATAACTCAAAAAATTAGATACCAAAATTTCAAATAACCAATTTAAAAATGATGTACAGAACTCAACAGATATTTCAAAACATAAAAATTTCAAATGACTGAAACACACTTAAGGAAATGTTTAATATCCTTTGTCTTCTGGGAAATGAAAATAAAAACAAATCTGATTTACCATCTATGTCATTTAGAATGGCTAAGATCAAAAACGCCTTTTATAGCTTATGCTGGAGAGTATGTGGAGTAAGAGGAACACTCCTCCAATTCTGGTGGGAATGCAAACATGTACAATCACTCTGGAAATCAGTATGACTGTTTCTCAGAAAATTGGGAATCAATGTAGCACAGCATCTTTTGGGTATATGCCCAAGAGTGGTATTGCTCAATTATTTTACAAGACATTCGTTCAGCTATGTTCATAGCAGTATTATTTGTAATAGCCACTGCCTAGAAACAATCTAGATACCTCTCAACTGAAGAATGGGTATAGAGGCAGGAACCAGAGACCTTTGTCGGTCCAGGCTAGAGTCTGGGACCATCGAGGGAGGAGGGAGGAACTAGAGACCTCTGCAGGTCTGAGTTTGAATCTGAGATCAGCAAGGGAGCAGGCCTGGGCCAGGACCTTTGCGGGTCCAGGCATGAGTCTGGGACCTCTGAGTATGTAGACCAGAGCCTGAGGTCTTTATGGGACTGTGCCGAAGCCAGGGACCTCCATGGGATCAGGCTCAAACCAGGAACATTTATGGAAACAAGCCTGAGCCAGCGACATTCGTCGGAGCAGGACTGAGACAGCGAAGTCCACAGGAGCAGGTACGAGGGAGCAACCACTGAGGAAGTAGGCCAGAAGTAGAGATGTCTGTGGATCTGGGTGCAAGACTGGGACATCGGAGGGTTTAAGCCTGAGCCAGGACCTCTGTGGGTCCAGACACGAAATTGGGACCTCCATGGGTGTAGGCAGAAACCAGAGAACTCTCGTGTTCAGGGGCGAGTCTGGGAACTTCAAGGAAATAGGCCAGAACCAGAGAACTCTATAGGTCTGGACAGAAATCTAGAACCCCTGTGGGAGTGGGCATGAACCAGGACAATTTTGAGAGCAGGCCCAAGCAACCTCATCAGAAAGAGACCCAAGGTAGCAATCTCTGTGAGAACATGCCCAAACTACACCTGGTATTGCTGAGTGAATCTCAGGAGTGTTAAGCAACCTCCAGGAACATGGAGGGCCCCACAGGGGTGACTGGAACTATACCCTGGCTGCACCACGATGAGCAGCCACCTGAACCCTGGATCCACTGGCACCTGGAAGATAGATCACCAGAGACAAGACAGTCACAACTACGTCAATCAGAGTAAAAAGAGAGACAGAAAAGGTAAGAACATTGATGCCGCAGGGCGATCGGTAATGAAAAGTCCCCAGACTATCTTAATACAAAATATACAGCTTTAATAGGCAGAAGTAAGACTTACACCAGCTTACACCAGAATCCAAACGATCCGTCCAGATGCAGGAGTCAGGCGAGAGAGAGAGCTAGTGGAAGTGCAACTTTTCTCTATCTTTTTCTTGTAAAGGTATAGTGAAGAAACAATCTTTCAGATCAATAACTATAAGAGGCCATCCCTTTGGTAACAGGGAGGGCAGAGGAATTCCAGATTTCAGAGGGCCCATAGATTGAATAACCTTGTTGACAGCTGTAAGACCTGGCACCATTTTCTATTTACCGAATTTTTTCTTAACAACAAATACAGGAGAATTCCAAGGGCTGGTTGATTCTTCTATATGTCGAGCATCCAATTGCTCTTGTACCAGCTGTTCTAAAGCCTGAAACTTTTCCTCAGCTAAAGGCCATTGTTTAGTCCATATTGGTTTCTCAGTCAACCATTTTAGAGGCATCGCTGTTGGTACCTCTGAAGGGCCATCAATTGTATTGTGTTCTTGAACAGCTCTAAAGGCCGGTTTCCGCCATCTGTAATATCTTTTAATATTTTCCTCAGAAATATAGGCTATAGAAGCAACAGGAATGTTAATTTGGGTATTCCATTGCTGCAATAGGTCACGGCCCCATAAATTCACTGCAATATTTGCTACATATGGCCTTAGTTTTCCTATTTGTCCATCTGGACCTATACAATTGACCCATCTTGTGCTTTGTCTTACTCGAGACAGGGTTCCAATTCCTAGGAACTGAATATCTACCTCCTGAAAAGGCCAATGCAGATGCCAAGATTCTGGAGTAATGATACTTACATCCACACCTGTGTCCAGTAAGCCAGTAATAAATTTGCCATTTACACACACTCTTAGCTTTGGTCTTTGTTCATTTATAGAAGTCTGCCAGAATACGCGTTTACTTTGTCCTCTTTGATTTCTTGATTCATTCACCACATTTAACTCATCTTTCAGGCCGTTATTGCTTTCAGCAGCAGGCATAGGGCATTCTAATTTCCCTGAAGAGGCATGTTCTCTACATTGACCAGAAATGACTGAACCACATTCACCATGGGGGCCTGCAAGAGGCCCCTCATTTCGTTTCTCGATGGCAACAGATTGCCCTGTTTATCTCTTGTCGACTTACACTCATTCATCCAATGCCCGTCCTTTCCACATCTCCTACATAAACCTGAAGGCTGAGTCCTCCTATTTCTGTTATTCCTAGAAGAGGCATTATTCCTGGAATTCCATTGTCTGCAGTCCCTTTTCATGTGTCCCATTTTGCCACAATGAAAGCATTTTATAATCTGATGTCTCCTTTTACCTTTGGAAATTGCTTCTTGTACCCATGCTTCATTGCCATAATCAAATGTATCAACAATCATTGTATGTAATACCCATTCATCCAAAGGCTCTGATCTGATCTTTAAAGACCCCAGGATCCTTTTACATTCTACATTGGCATTCTCATAAGCCAAAGACTCAATTACTGTATTTCTTGCTTCTGGATCAGGTATCCCTATTTGTACAGCCTTAGTTAGTCTTTGTAAGAAGTCACTAAAGGGTCCTCTCTGACCCTGCTTTACCCTGATATATGATTCTACTCTCTGACCTGAGTCTTAAACCCTGTCCTGGGCCCTTAGAGCTGCTGTGGCACATATGGATAAAATGTTTTCATCATAAAGAGTTTGTTCCTGAGGATCAGAGTAAAGTCCTTCACCTAGAATTTGATCAAGAGAAACCTCAATTCCTTTCGCTGATTCTTGTTGTTGTAAAAGTCTGGCCTCTTGCTTGAATAGGCATTTGAAATGCCATAAAGGTCCGTTCTCCAAGACTGCTGACATTAATTGATTCCAGTCTTGAGGTGTTGCCCTGCTGCTGAGAGCCCAGGATTTTAATATCTCTCTAACAAAGGATGAATGTAGTCCATAATTTACAATTGCTTGTTTAAATTCTTTCAGATCACTTATACATATAGGCTCCCATGCATGTTCTTTAATGACCTTTGGTTTTTCTGATGTTATTACTGGAAAGGCAGGTATAACTCTGTGTAGACTTAGAGTTTTCAGAGGTAAATGTTGCCTTTTTACCTTTTGCTCCTGTTCATCAGAGTCTATAATTTCCTCAATCTTATTAAATCTGCTCACCATTGCCTTCTGTAAGTCCTGAATCTTCTGTCCAGTATTATGCTCCAAAGCCTTCATTAACGATTCTAAGGCATGGAGCTTGTCCGTCAGAGACACCATTTCCTCCCTGGACACTATCACCTTCATTGATAATTCTAAGGCATGGAGCTTGTCCATTAGAGATACCATATCCTCCTTGGACATAATCCTCATGGCATGTACTGTGCCTTCTTGTATGGAAATCCTGTCAATTAATCTATCATACCCTTTTGATAAAGTCTGATTTTCACATTCAATGGGTTTAATCCTCTCAGCTAATGTTTCAACACTTACAGTCATGGACTGGAGGTTATGAGTCATTTTTGTTGTTCCCTCCTCCAGAGCAGTGAAGCTCCCTTCTATAGACTGTACTTTCTGGATATTTTGGTCAGTCAAGCGAGTCATATCAGACAAAGATCTAGTCTCCTCCTTGAGAACTCCAAACTCTGATCTAGTCTCCTCCTTGAAAACTCCAAACTCTTTTTTGAGGAGGTTGGTGTCAGTCTGAATTGTCCTTAAGGTTTTAATCTCTACCCTCAGCATTGTAGATTCAATCTGTAAGGACTGCATCATCCTTATAAAATATCCAAACACCAGAAAAGCAACAGATCCCAGAAATAACCAAGTAAGAGGAATATCAGAGACATCTTTCAGAATATCCTCCATAGCACAATTAAAAATGCCATTGAAATTTTGGATAGTAATATTTTCTGACATTTTCAATCAAAAGAAATCATACTTGTATGTATGTATGTATGTATGTATGTATTTTCAACCGAAAAGAAAAATCTTACCTGTAATGACTGTTGCCTGCCAGTAGGTGGCGGGGGCACACTTGAATCTGAGTGGCAATGGAGTCAAACCAGTAAGCAAACTCTAAAATATATACACTCAAATCCAGAGATTAAATTCACAGATCGTGTGCACCTGCTCAGGTGGGTAAGTCACTGCCCGAGGTGGGTAGCAGAAGCCAAGAAGTCCCCTCCCTGGTCTGCCTGAGGTCAGGGCCAGTCGGGAGCCAGTAGCAGCATGCGGCCCTTGGATCAGGTGTATGCAAGGAAGTTAGCTGCCTGCTCTTTCGGCAGCGGCCCTGTGAATGTGGTTCGCACTTAAGCTATGAGCTAGTTAGTCAGGGTAAAAGCTGGGGGGCTGCAGAGAGACCTCAGGTGCACGCTCAGGCTGCTAGGCCCTCGCCATGAGGGGGGAAAAGGCCCCCACCTTGGGCGCCAAAATGATGCCGCAGAGCGATCGGTAATGAAAAGTCCCCAGACTATCTTAATACAAAATATACAGCTTTAATAAGCAGAAGTAAGACTTACACCGGCTTACACCAGAATCCAAATGATCCGTCCAGACGCAGGAGCCAGGCGAGAGAGAGAGCTAGTGGAAGTGCACTCGCCAGGTTTATAGGTAAACTTTAGCCTAAGGGTGACACGCCCCACGAACAGAATGTGATTGGCTGAACTCCCCTATCAGAACATGTGCAACACCACAAAGAGCAACATGAAAGCAGTAAAAACTAGTGACTCTATAACAGCAAGACTTCAACAGCCAAATGTAGATAGAGCAAAAGAAAATGACCTCAAAATAACTTTAGGATGTGAAATGTAAATTTTACCAAGAGGGAAATATATAAAAATGTGAATTGTCAGAAATGAAAATGAAGTGAACACATCTAAGTCCTGGTGGTTTGGAATAAGAAAGCAATGTATATTAAATTTTCATGGTGTCTTGTGAAAGGAACATTACTTCAGCCTGCAAATGGTTTTTCCATCATGTCTACAAAATAATTTTAAAAAAATCACAGATTACTGTAAATTCCTAAGCATACTTAATGAACTTACACTAAACAAGTGTCCTAACTTACAGTCTCCTTTTGAAATACACACACACACACACACACACACACACACACGCACACACACACACACACACACACACACACACACACACACACTGTATTGAATGGAATTAAGTGGAAATATATATGTAAAAACATGGCACATATAAAATTATATGTCAATCTGTCTGACAAGAAGAAGCAAATTTATAGCTCTGATGATTTGATTTATGGGTATAATCCATTGGTTCTAACTTGGAAAAAAATAGGAAGGTTGATAGGCTTCAATGGTTGAGAGAGACCTCATCTGTACTTTTTTGACTGAAAGAAAAAACTTCGTATTTTAAAATCAAAGCAAGAGTTCATGCAGCAGAGTCTATAGATCCATATTTCTGAAGTGACCCCTAATGGTCTTGGAACTCCTGTTGGTGTTTTACATTCCCTCCTGTTTCCAAGTTTCTCTGAAGCGGGGCTCTCTGCAGGCTCACACTGGATATTCCTCACTGTGTGGCAGTCACAGTATTACATGTCCGTGTCCTCATTTTGAGGAGTGTTGCAATTTAAGA